CGGGAACCTGGTGACCAACAGGACCTGGGAACATTTCTGGTAACCAAACGGAAACGAGTTCTGACCCAATCAGTGCGAGTTTGATGCTCAGGCGGTTTCTGCTCCGTCAGGCTGAACGAGGGTCACACGGTCTACCTGGAGAGGATGATCGGCAGGTGTATGGAGGGGGAGATGTTCAGGCAGTTTAAAGCCCGGGGGGGCTGGAAGGACCTGCAGGACTCTGTAAGAACCTGAACCCGTTCAGAACATCCAGACAGAACCATGCGGGTGTTTCCTCTAACCCCTCACCTTTGTCTTTCAGGTAAACACCTTCGGAGCAGACAACCCTCTGACCAACCTGGTCCCCAGCCTTCAGGAGGTGGATCCTGATGATGCCTTCTCCTCCGTGCCCTATGAGAAGGGCTTTGCTCTGCTCTACCACCTGGAGGAGCTGCTGGGAGGGCCAGGTAACACCCAGCCACACGCAGACCCTCCTGGTTCTGGTCGTATTCTGACGCCCCTGACGGTTTGTCCTCCTCAGAGGTCTTCATGGGGTTCATAAAGTCGTACATCCAGCGTTTCGCCTACAGCAGCGTTTCCACGGACGACTGGAAGAACTACCTCTTCTTCTACTTTAAAGACAAGGTGAGACGACCTGAGGGACGCAGCTGGAGTTTCCAGGTTACTGGCTGCTTCTGTTAGGAGTTTCTAACCTTCTGTCCTTCAGGTGGACGTCCTGAACAAGGTGGACTGGAACGCCTGGATGTTCACCCCTGGGATGCCCCCGGTCCAGCCGCAGTAAGTGGGTTCTGGTGGAGGCCCGACCCGTCTCAGAGTCCCATTCTGGTCCTGATCGGTGGGTTCTGTTGTGTTCCAGGTATGACTCCACTCTGGCTGACGCCTGCATCGCTCTGAGTCAGCGCTGGATCAAGGTCAGATGCTTCTCATCTCCATCCGGCGCCGTAAGGATGTTTGGGACCCAGATTTAACCCTTTGTCGCCCTCAGGCCAGAGAACAGGACCTGGGCGGCTTCAGCGAGTCGGAGGTGAAGAACCTGTCGTCCCACCAGGTGATAGAGTTCCTGTCGCTGCTGCTGCAGGAGGTAAAGCACGACGTCTCCTCAGACCCCCCCCCCCCCCCCCCCCCCCCCCCCACCCCCTTCTGATCAGGCTCCTCCCCCTCCCTGACCCCTGCTCTCCTCCTCAGGAGCCGCTTCCTCTGACTCATGTGAAGAAGATGCAGGACGTTTACAACCTCAACGCTTCCACCAACTCAGAGATCCGCTTCAGGTGAGACACTGTAATTTAAGCTCCTCCTCCTCCCAGGTGGAGCTTTCTCCTGATTGGCTGCCGTGTCTTCAGGTGGCTGAGACTGTGCGTTCGCTCAAAGTGGGAGGAGGCGGTTCCCCTGGCGCTGAAGATGGCGACGGACCAGGGCAGGATGAAGTTCACCCGGCCGCTCTTCAGGTCAGAACCAGTCCTGCAGCTTTTCCAGGCTCCCCTGCTCCAACGGGCCTGATTTAACCGGGTCACTGGGAGAACCTGCTTCTAGGAGCTGCGGAACCCCAGAGGGACTCTGGGTCGGTACCTGTTACAAACCTGTATTCCGTCTCTGTTTCTGTTGGACCCAAAGGGAAGTTTTTACCTTCGAGAAGTACCGGGAAGAAGCCGTCCGAGTGTTCGTCGCTCACAGAGCCGCCATGCATCCCGTCACCTCTGGACTGGTTGGAAAGGACCTGAAGGTGGACGCCAGCGGTCACTGAGAGCAGGAAACCGGTCTATACCGGCAGAACCGGGTCCATTTCTGTCAGGTCAAACTGTTTGTATTAAAAGCCAAACTGTGAGCTGAAACCCGAGTCGTGTCGTTTGTTCTAAACTCAGGTTTACGGGGAGGGAAGCACCAGTAGCATTAGCATTAGCATGCTGATCAGATGTGTTAGAATGGCCTAGTCAAAGTACAGATCTCTATCCAACTGGTAAACTGGCTAATCCTGCTAACTGATGTTCTCCATCCTGTCTGACTCAGCTGGACAAGTTTTATAAGGAACAGAGGAAACTGGAAATGGATCGTTGATCCCATTAAACCCAGATCCTAACTGGAGGAAGACCAGTAGAACACCTGAGTCAGTCAGCTCTAACCCTCCTTAGGTTTCTCTTTACCCAGAAACCAGAATATTACCTCTGGCTCCTCTCTCTCTGGCCTCAGCCGTTTCAACATCAGTTTTCTGTTAACCTGAAGCAACAGGAACGATTACAGGAAATGTTCTGAAGAAAGAGGGAAACTGCAACATCCAGAACTTTCCCAGAAGGTTCCAAAGAGGCGTATGCTCCGACCTCGGCGGTGATTACATATTTCCGAGTTTGTTTCTTCATTAAGAGGAAATTAGGAAATGTGTGATGAATTTAGAGAGAAAAACCAACATGTTTTAAAATGAGTTTACATTTTCAGCCTGGAAAAGCCTCTAAATCAAGGGCCAAATGTTAAAAAAAGGAGGAAGGCTTTTCTTTAAGGGAGTGTTCAACCTTTTTTGACTTGTGTTCCCCTTTAGGCATTTTGTCTGAAGATGAATATCAGACAAAAGTATTGATAATTGTCCAAAAGTGGCACACACAATAACAGATTATACAAAAAAAACTTTTAATTTGAACATTTAATTCTTGGGCATTTTATGCTTTCCATCTCAAATAAACATTAATATGTTGCCCAGAAGGAATCTAAATAAATACGAAATAAAATCCTATTATAAACCTGTATTATTAAGGCTGGAGCTCCTCTGAGTAACTCTCTTATAAATGCATTTAAACTTGATAAATTTGGAGAAATATACAGAATAAAAATTATTCACTCTGACTTAGTTTTACTTTGTTTTCATCGAGATGCCTGATCTGCTTTGATGGTCTCAGATAGCTCCGTTTGAAAAACAGCTGTTCTTTACATCCAGTCTGTTCCTCTGTTTGGTTTGGATGTGTTTCAAAGCTGAAGCTGAACTCAAACATATAAGAAAAACTTTTTGGTTGATAAAAGCTTGTTTAATTTTTCAATTCTTTCCTCAGAATGCAAAATAGATCCCAGCCCTATTTTATTTTACTGCATAAGAACTAAAATATTTCCATGTACCCCTTGCAATGCACTCTCGGGCCACTAGGGGTACGGGTACCCTGGGATGAACTGAAATTAATCTAGCCTGGGTGCCAGTCAGAACTTAGTCCCGCCCACAAGGTTTGAGTTCGGGGAAGTTCGGTCTGGCTCTGCTCCATAGTAGCGCGAGTATTATCGCCCACTGTCAGGCGATCCAATCAAATTGTCAGGGCGGACTTTATACGATGATGGACAGATGATCAACAGTAACGTAATCAACCACGTGACCAAAGCGCGCTAGGGTGACAACAATAATGGCTGCCACTGGAGAGTTTGGGTGAGTAGATTCTGCTATTAGGTCTGTTCTAGAAGATATCGACAGCAAATTAATTTTAAAAGAGGAACAGAGAAACGCGATCAAGTCTCATCTTCTTATTATAGGCGTGAAACTGCACGCTTTGATTTTTGATGACAACAACTATGCCTCGCTTAACACTCCGTTGCTTTTATTGGTTGTAGGTCTATCCAATTGAGTGCAGAGGCATTTTTTTCCTGGTTCGTTCAAAACACGCCCCATAATCACAGCTCTATGGAGCAGTATCAGACTTATATTCTGACTAGAATTGAGTCGGACTACGTCAGGCTAAAATTAATCGGCTTTATGGGAAAAAAAAAAAAAAAAAATCTCTTCAAACCAAAATGACTTCCAACTTGGTCATCTTGCGTCTTTCATTTCCTGAAAGTGAAGCATGGCGGTGGCAGCATCATGCTATGTGGATGTTCCTTCCAGTAGGACATTTGAATTCACATGAGGTAACTGGTACCGACACAACTAGTCGGGTCCAAACCTTCAGAACTTCATGTACAGAACCTGTTCACCGAAGAGGATCCGTTCAACATGAAGAAACAGGAAATGGATGAAACCATTTTCTGCTTAGTTCATGTTCGTAGAGCACGAAAAAAGAACAGACATTTAACGAAGCTTTGGCTGAAAATCTCTTTTTATTAAACAGAAGTTAAAACCATCAGCTGGTTGTTTGGAGTCTGATCAAGCCGGTTACAGAGGAAATAAGGCAGGCGGCTGAAGCTGAAGCTCACATGACATCCTCATCTGTTGAGGCCTGAAACCAGCGCCCCCTGCTGTTGGTTTAACCTAAACACACCCCAGCTGATTTATTAACATGGTTCCACTTTTCATTTAAGGTGGAATCTGAAAACGTCCTGTTTTTAACCAAAGGAAAAGCAGAGAAACATTCATTAACAACTGGATTCTGCCATTTAAACCCAGAAGAACCAGAATGAAGATGTTCAGCTGAAATAATCTGGGATTAATCTGTTTTTAATTATTCTTGTGTTTTACTTTATTAATATTTTAGTACATTTTATTTAAACCTTTTAATTTTTACAATTAATGTTAATTTATCTATTTCCAGTCACATAAAGTTTTTAGAATAGAATATTTTAATGCGTAACTATATAAAATGACAAATTAGCCCGTTAATCTGATTTGTTTTGCATTTTAATCCCATTAAAATGATTATTTTTATACTTTTACCAAGTTTTCTAAATTGTTTTAATACATCCCCTCCTCGAACATGAGGGACCGGTGCTCAGAGGATTAGGGGCCAGTCAGAGATGGAGGCCTCGGAGACCCATTCATGGGCGCTTAGACTCTGGGGATGTGGAATGTCACCTTGCTGGGGGGAGGAGCTAGAAATAGTCAGGGTCTTTTTTTAACATATTTATCCATCTGAAGATAAATTACTGTCACTGATTTATTAAATCACAAGACTTAGTGTCTTTAATTTTTATTTTATAATTAATATATAAATAATTTAGTATTTCTAATAATCCATAATTATTCCACTACCGTGATTTTCTTCTATCAGTTGATGAAGGTTTGCAAAAGATGGAGTTTTTTTTTCTATTCTTTCTTTGGTGAAAAGCTTTGGGAAACAGTCAGAACCATTTCGGATCAGCTTCAGGACCCAAAGTGTAAATAAAAATAAAAAAAACAAAGAAAAGCTACGAGCTCCTGAACATCTCTAATCTGGACCACCTGTGTGATAAATGTTACTGTCAGTGAGGTTCTGTTAGGGTCCTGGTTCTGATAGAAGAGTAAATGTCTCAGCGCCACAGTGAACATTACAGGTACTGGACCAGAACCACCTGCTTTGAGTCCTTCACCCAAACATGAAACATTCAGCAAACACCAGCCTCATCAAGTCCAGTTCAGGTCCGACTGGATTCAGTTTCTGCTTCTGCTTGATCATCTGAATTCCAGCCGGATCCAGTTTCCTCAGGTCCAGCTGAGTCCAAGTCCTCCTGCTACCAGAATCTGCTCCAGGTCCTGGTCCTCCTGCCTCTCCAGCAGCCGCTGCTCCTCCAGCAGAGACACCAGAGCGTCTCTCTGTTCCACCACCTCCAGCATCTCCTCCAAGATCAGCCGCTCCTCAGCCAGCTGCTCCTCATCCTTCAGGTGATCTGAAACAGTCGGCACAGACCGTAAGCTGGAGCTCGGCCTCCTTGGATCAGCGCTCTGGCTCTGTTCGGGCCTCCTCACCATCCACAGCCATCCCCTCCCTGAGCTCCTGCTGCAGGCGGCTCTGTCTGTCCTCCAGCTGCAGCTCCCGAGCGCTAAAACCAGAACAACATTCAGGTCCAGCAGGTTCTGCTGCGGGAGCGTCTTCAAACCGTCCGAAATACTCACAATATCATGAGTTCAGATTCGTATCGGACCAGAGAGTTCTTCTGCTGGACCAGCTGGAACCACTGCTGCATCAGAGCCAGATTATCCAGTTTGCCCAGTCCTGCAGGCACAGAGCACATTTAAACACCTGCTCCTATCGGGATGTTTATTTCATCCTCGTGGGAAAACAGTTCCACTCTGAAAGAAAAACTGACCTCCCAGGTGAAGCTCCATGTCTGGGCCACAGCTGGAATCCTCCCAGTAGTCTGTTAGGAGCAGGACATAGTTGAATTTAGGACGATTCAGGTAGGAAACAGGTTAAAAAGCAATACGGTGTTTAATCCACGGCTTCTCTGGGCTTGATGCTTCAATATCAGGCAGATTAATCAAAGATTAAAAAACAATCAATCAGATAAATTCCTTCAGTTTATGTAGCGCCAATACATATAATACGAAAGTTACGTATGTAACTACGGTTCTATGAATCCCGGATGACCGCCAGAGGGCGGTGCTGAAAGCACTGAATGTTCCCTTCGGGCATGCGCAGTTCGAGTAATTATACCAACAGAGTCACACCTGTGACACCGGATGACCACTCAGAAGCTATATAGCCTGGTGTCATCCTTTGCTCTGCTCCTACAGAATCTTCTCGCAAAAGCAAGGATTCTGAGTGACAGAGAAGCTCTGGCGGTCATCCGGGATTCATAGAACCGTAGTTACATACGTAACTTTCGTTCTATTTCATCCCTACTGACCGCCAGAGGGCGGTGCTGAAAGCACTGAATGACTAATGCCAACGATGTCACAAGGAATCCTGAGCACATACCTCACAGAGGAGGCCCAGCAGAACCTTGTAAAAGGACCTGACCCAGGGGATGAGGGGCAGCCACATTGACACTGTAGAACCTGGTGAAGGTGGTTGGGGAAGCCCATGAAGCAGCAGCACATATAGCTTCCAGCGGAACCCCTCTCAAAGCAGCCCAGGAAGCGGTGACGCTCCTGGTGGAATGTGCTCTCACACCGACTGGCAGGGAGCAGTGACCTGCAGCGTAGGCGTGGCAGATGACACTCACAATCCAATGGGACAGACGCTGTTTAGAAAGAGGACAGCCTAACCTTGGACCCCCATAGCATAGGAAAAGCTGGTCCGAGCGTCTCAGATTGGCGGTGGCTGCAATGTATGCCTCCAACGCTCTTACTGAGCACAACTCAGACTCATTCTCAGTTGTACCAGATTGAGGCTGAAACCGAGCCAGCCGCAATGGCTGGTTACGGTGAAAAGGAGACAACACCTTAGGCACAAACGCAGTATTAGGCCACAGGGTAACACCAGAGCCATCTGGATTCCATCTGATACACCTAGGGCTGACAGAAAGAGCATGCAGCTCGCTGACCCTCTTAGCTGAGACGATAGCCATCAGGAAAGCAGTCTTGCAGGAAAGCCACTTGAGTTCTGCTTGTGCCAAAGGCTCGAATGGAGGGTGGCACAGAGCTGTGAGAACCAACGGCAGATCCCAATCTGGGGCTCGTGGGGCTGGCTGCTGGCACAACCTACGAGCACCACGCAGAAAAAGTGAAACCAGTTCATGGCGCCCCACTGTACGGTTGTCAGCAGTTCGGTGAAGACATGAAATTGCTGCAACATACACTTTAAGGATCGAAGGAGAGCGGCCCTTATCAAGGAGAGACTGGAGGAACTCCAAAATAGTGGGCACCGAGCAGGAAACTGGGTTCTCATTGTGGGCAGAGCACCACTGAGAAAAGAGGCGCCATCTGTTAGCATACTGCAGCCGAGTGGAGGAAGCCCTAGCACTCAATACGGTGTGTCTCACGGTGTCTGAACACCCAGTCAGCCTCCCAGGGGCCATGCCCACAGCTGGAGACGTTGAGGGTTGGGGTGCCATATCTGTCCCCCCAACTGAGACAGCAGATCCCTCCTTGCTGGAAGACGCCATAGAGTACCGTGACACAGACTCCAAAGCAGCGGGAACCACGGCCGCGCTGGCCAGAACGGAGCTACCAGCAACACTCTGTGGCCCTGCTCGAGAACCCTCCGTAGAGTCGGCCAAATCAGTGAGAGGGGTGGAAAGGCATACAGGAGAACCTGCGGCCATGGATGAGCCAATGCATCCTGGCCCAGTGCGCCCGCCATCCCGGTTAGGGAATACCATAGGGGGCAATGGGTCGACTCCTCTGTGGCGAACAGATCTACCTCTGCCTGCCCAAAGAGGTTCCAGATTATGCGCACTACGTCGCGGTGAAGAGACCACTCTCCCGGAGCAGGTGCCTGGCGGGATAGAGAGTCCGCAACCTGGTTCTGCCGTCCTGGCAGATACGCTGCGCGCAGGGTACACAGACGGGGAAACGCCCATTCCAGGAGATCCCTCGACACCTTCAAGAGACGTGCTGACCTGGTGCCACCTTGGTGGTTTATATGATAAACAACAGAGGTGTTGTCTGTCCGAATCAGCACGTGCCTTCCCTCTAGGTGGGGCAGAAGGCACCTGAGGGCCATGTGCACAGCCCGCAGCTCCAGCACATTTATGTGTTCGGTGCGCTCCCTTGGGTCCCAGAGACCCCGAACAGCTCTGTGTTGCCACACGGCACCCCAGCCCATGAGGCTGGCATCCGTGGTGACCACCTCCCTTCGACACACTACTAGCCCCATTGGAACACCACTGGACAAAAGGGTCCCGTCTCGCCAAGGAGCTAGGGCATGGAGGCAGCTCCTGGTCACCATTAGCCTGCGATGCCTGTGCAGCCTGGCGTCTAGGCGAAAGCTGTTGAGCCATCGCTGCAAAGGACGCAGAAGGAGCAGCCCTAAGGGCACGACACGAGTGACTGATGTCAGTTTGCCCAGCATTCGCAGGATGATGATGTAGGGAAACTCCCTGCCCAGTCTGAATCGACGGAAGAGCTGGAGTATGTCGTCCACACTGTGAACAGATGGACGGGCCATCATGGTAGCAGAGTCCAGATGCATCCCAAGAAAGGTGGTTGTCTGAGATGGAACAAGACAACTCTTTGCCAAGTTGACTTTGAGGCCTAACAGTGACACATGAAGTAGAAGCTGGGACGTATCCCGAGAGGCAGCTACCTGAGAGGGAGCACAAAGAAGCCAATCGTCCAGGTATGGCAGAATCCTGACTCCGGAGGCCTGTAGAGGAGAGAGGGCTGCTTTCACGCATCGAGTAAACACCCTCGGGGAAAGGGAGAGCCCGAATGGGAGCACCCGGAATTGCCAATGGCGCCCCCGATAGGCAAACCTGAGAAAACGGTGATGTTCTGCCGCAATAGGCACGTGAAAGTAGGCGTCTGTCAGATCTACTGATGTAAACCAATCTCCCGCCACAATGGTCTGAAGGACCTCTGTTATGGTGAGCATGTGGAAGGGAGCAGCCAGAGAGATAACGTCATCCTCTACAACCAGCTCGGGCATTGGTGGGGAAGAGAGCCCAACCACTGGGAGCGAGGGATCAGATTGCCGTGTCTGCAACAAGGACTTCATCTCTGCCAGCTCTGCTGACAACTGCTCCACCCTTGTGGACAGGCCCTGGTCAGGTTTGGCCCGCTTCCTCCGGGGGAGGGGCACAGATGCTGTGGTCCCACCACAGCGCTTAGAACGCTTGGGGGGAACCACCTGCCCAGAGGGCGGAAGGTCCGAGCCCTCCTGGGGGCACAACTGGGCCAACCGGGCCACCCTCACTGCATGGGGCATAAAGCTGCAGTTCATACAGGGGTTCTCAGACAGCGCCTCCAAAAGGTGCTCATGTCCAAGGCAGGTAGGGCACAGGTCGTGGCCATCCTCTGCCTGCAGGGCAGCCCCACAATCCATGCAGCTGTGAGAGCCATCCATGTCGAAGGCCGACAAGGCTTAAAGAACAGAAAGTTATCGAAAATCGGGAGAGGGGGCGCAAACGCAGCCGTCACCAATTACAGCAGAGAAACGAAAGAGGCTGCGAGCACAAGGCAGCCGATACTGGGAGAGGGGGCGAGAACCGCTACCGTCACCAGGTATAAAACCAATAAACCAAAAAAGCTAACAACGTTAGCTGTATGGAAACTTAAGTTGGGAGTAGGAGCGAACAACGCTGCCGTCACCAATTAAGAGAGCAGACCAACGAAAAGGCTGCAAAAAAGGTTGATTTTGGGAGAGGGGGCGAAAACGCTGCCGTCACCATTCATAACTAAGCAGACCGATGAAGAAGGCTGCAAACAAACCAAAAAAGGCTAACAACGTTAGCCGTCTCCAACTTCGGCAAACGAAGTAGACCACACTTGGTTGGGAGAGGGGGCGAAAACCGCAGCCGTCAGTAATTATAGCAGCGCAGACCGGTGAAAAAAAGGATGCAAAAGTAGGGAATATACTGGGAGAGGGGACGAAAACCGCTGCCGTCACCAGGTATAACACCAACAAACTAAAGAAGCTAACTACGTTAGCCGTATATAACTTCGGCAGTGAAGTTATTCACACTGGGAGTAGGGGCGAAAACGCTGCCGTCACCAGTTCGAAACAAAACAGCACGAAGCTGTAGGTAAAAAGCTAAAGTCGTGAGCCGGGAGAGGGGGCGCGGACGCTACCATCACCAGCAAACAACTCACTTACCTTCCGTATTCCTCAGAATCGACCCGTTGCAGCCCTGGGAGGGCGGAGAATAACCGCAACTCCGGTCAAGATACAGGGGCTTCAGACAACGGGGAAGTTAGCGAACCGCTTGCGAGAAGAAAAAAGGAGCAGAGCAAAGGATGACACCAGGCTATATAGCTTCTGAGTGGTCATCCGGTGTCACAGGTGTGACTCTGTTGGTATAATTACTCGAACTGCGCATGCCCGAAGGGAACATTCAGTGCTTTCAGCACCGCCCTCTGGCGGTCAGTAGGGATGAAATAGATCCAACTGAAGGCTCTCTATAGACACAATTCAACCAGATCATCCAGTCAGATAGTTTAAAAGTGTTTTTATCTATAGGCCTCATTGACTCGAAGGCAATCCTTGTAGCGATAGTGGAGAGGAAAACTCTCTTTTAACAGGAAGAAACCTCCTTCAGAACCAGGCTCAGAGTGAGCGGCCATCTGCTGAGGCCGACTGGGGTTGAAGGAGACAGAAGCAGAGATACAAAATGTTCAGTCTATGATTGCGCTACTGTCATGGGAAAAAGTATTAAACTATTCATTCTAGTTAAATCAAAAGAGCTCGGAGGATTTCACTTAGTCCGCATTTTATTTCATCTTTAAAAAGAGAGAACAAAACATCATACAGCCCATATTGCATGGTAATCAGCCCTGTTCTGATCTGGCCAGAGTTTGTCTTCCTTGCCTACAATGACTGAAATGCTGAAGGTTGTGTCAGAGTCAAAACACCTCTCTACCCAAAGCAAAAAACAAATAGATTTTTTCCCACCACAGATACACTCACCGGCCACTTTATTAGGTACACCTGTCCAACTGCTCGTTAACACTTAATTTCTAAGCAGCCAATCACATGGCGGTACTTCAGTGCATTTAGGCATGTAGACATGGTCAAGACAATCTCCTGCAGTTCAAACCGAGCATCAGTATAGGGAAGAAAGGTGATTTGAGTGACTTTGAACGTGGCATGATTGTTGGTGCCAGAAGGGCTGGTCTGAGTATTTCAAAAACTGCTGATCTACTGGGATTTTCACGCACGACCATCTCTAGGGTTTACAGAGAATGGTCAGAAAAAGAAAAAACATCCAGTGAGCGGCAGTTCTGTGGGCGGAAATGCCTTGTTGATGCCAGAGGTCAGATGGCCAGACTGGTTCGAGCTGATAGAAGGGCAACAGTGACTCAAATAACCACCCGTTACAACCAAGGTGGGCAGAAGAGCATCTCTGAACGCACAGTACGTCGAACTTTGAGGCAGATGGGCTACAGCAGCAGAAGACCACACCGGGTGCCACTCCTTTCAGCTAAGAACAGGAAACTGAGGCTACAATTTGCACAAGCTCATTGAAATTGGACAATAGAAGATTGGAAAAATGTTGCCTGGTCTGATGAGTCTTGATTTCTGCTGCGACATTCGGCATCTACAACATGAAAGCATGGATCCATCCTGCCTTGTATCAACGGTTCAGGCTGGTGGTGGTGGTGTCATGGTGTGGGGAATATTTTCTTGGCACTCTTTGGGCTCCTTGGTACCAATTGAGCATCGTTGCAACGCCACAGCCTACCTGAGTATTGTTGCTGACCATGTCCATCCCTTTATGACCACAATGTACCCAACTTCTGATGGCTACTTTCAGCAGGATAATGCGCCATGTCATAAAGCTGAAATCATCTCAGACTGGTTTCTTGAACATGACAATGAGTTCACTGTACTCAAATGGCCTCCACAGTCACCAGATCTCAATCCAATAGAGCATCTTCTGGATATGGTGGAACGGGAGATTCGCATCATGGATGTGCAGCCGACAAATCTGCGGCAACTGTGTGATGCCATCATGTCAATATGGACCAAACTCCCTGAGGAATGCTTCCAGCACCTTGTTAAATCTATGCCACGAAGAATTGAGGCAGTTCTGAAGGCAAAAGGGGGTCCAACTCGTTACTAGCATGGGGTACCTAATAAAGTGGCTGGTGAGTGTATGTTCAGGTGCGTTTCAAGGGAAACGGGTTGGTCAGAAAGAAAGCATGTAAAGCCAATGTCACACCTTGACGATTTAGCCTGCGTATGCCTGACGTACGGTAAATCTGGCAAAATGCTGGCATACGTTGGATAAGTTATTGGTATGGTTTCTATAAGTTATGAGCACGCTGAAGTACGCTGAAACACGCTGGCACACGTCGACATACAGCGAGTCGTCAAGAACTTTTTAGCATGCTAAAAATTGCCCGACGTATGCCAGCATGTGCCATACGTAGGCCATAAGTTAGAGCTAAGTTATCTGATCGTTGACATACGTTAAGTGTAAGTTACCCAATATAACCCGGCAATCCCCAGTTTTATATATATAAAACGTGTAACAAACGTGTAACAAAAGTAATTTCCCTCTGGGATTATTAAAGTACTTCTGATTCTGATTCAAAACCTAAGAGTAACTTCTCCTCCTGACTTCATCCCCATCATAGGGAGAGCGAGAAGGTGAGTGTGATGGATGCTCCCTGTGTTCACGACAACAACCAACAACTTCCTAACTGACAGTATGCTGAATCTGCTGCGACTGCAAACCTCATTTCTCTCTTTTTCCTTTTTTGTTGTTGTTTTTTTTAGTTTGGGCGGCGGGTGGTATCATTGCCACAAAGCTCTGCCATACGTTATGCATAAGTTAGGCTGTCGTTGGACATAAGCTCTGGACTCGTTATGAATATGCTATGTATACGCCCAAAATTGAAAAAAATACATATAAAGTTCAGCTTATTCCAGCGTTTTAGGAGATGCTGGGACGTCAGGCATACGCTGGCTAAATCGGCAAGGTCTAACTGGGCCCTAACCAGAGAAGCTGATGGAAGGTGCTAATGGATGCAGATGAGATCACATCCGTAGAGTCGGGTTAAAACAGCAAATGTCAGGTGAAATCCAGATGAGTTTATAGGTTCTGGTAGAAGAATTAGGGTCCAGATGAGTTCATAAGGTTAAAACATAAAAGGTCGAGGTGGTTCAGGTAGAAACAGGAGGTTCTGATTGGGTTTTAATCATCTCGTCTCACCTGCTTCTCCTCTCAGAGCTTTCTCCACCATCACTCCTCTCTCCTCCAGCTCCCTCTGCTTCACCTCCACCTGCTGCAGCTGCCTCTGGATCATCTGAAACAGACAGACTGAAGGTTCTGGTTCTGGTCAGGTCTGGACCACCGCTGTCCTCAGGGACACTCACCTGAGCCTTGTGCAGCCTCTTCAGCTGCTCCTTCTTGGCCTGCCTCCTGGCGGCTCTCTGAACCCGTCGAGTGATTTTAGTGTCCAGGTCTTCATCTTTGTCCTCTTGGTCCTTCTGGAACATGGACTCCTTCGTGCTCAAACTGGACGGTTCCTTGGGTCGGGTGAGGACTCCCACCACCTCTGTGGGGCACGAGGACTGTCCGTCAGAGTCCTGGACTCGCTCCCTCTGGGGTTTCCTCTAAACCAGATTAAGGACAGCAGTTTAGACAGGACATAGATTCCTGGATCAGAAATCTTTGCTGGGAAACAAGACATCTGCACCTTGACTCCATATGATCGTCTAAACGCCAGAGCCCGAGGAACGTAGACCTGCTGAGAGACAGGAAGTGGACATAAGGGTGACAGGAAACCATCAACGTGATGGAAAAGATGCTAGCAGCAAACTAAATGTTTGGTTTTATGTCGATCCCGAGTCCATGACTGTGTCCGAATGTCCGCCCTAACCACTATATAGGCATTATGTAGTGGTTACACCATTTCAGATGAGTGTCCGAAAGTCTAGAGAAGGGGTCACGGATTAGGGGACCAGGGTCCGGATCTACTTCAAAAAACACTTTAGATTTGAAATTGTAAAAAAAATTTCATTTCAATTCAATTCAGTTTTTTTCTATAGCGCCAATTCACAACACGTCATCTCACTTTACAGTTTTTTTTTATATTTTTATTTAAAAAGTCAGTGTATAACATGGATGCATAAACACCTCATTTTATTTCAGTGTTAAAGTCTCTTAAAAGAAACAATTAGTAAAACAACAAGTAAAAAATGTCTCCAGACCTTTACTAGTTGATGATTTTCTTTAATCGGACCCCTCCGATTTTTAATTGGTTACCCCTTGTCTAGTGGCCTGGTCTAGCATCTTGAAACGTACTGATCATAAATGGTCACTGGAAGGGCAGATATATCCCATGATGCTTTGAAAGGAGAACTTTTCTCGCAAAGCATCATGGGATTTTTTGTCACAGCGGCCCGCTGTTGCTACCTGACAGCGGTGAAAAATAACAAAGATGGGGCAGGCACCATCCGGGGAGGCGGAGTCACATGACCAATGGGGGGGGTGAAAAGTAGTGATCATATGTCTAAACAGTCAGTTAACTGAGTTCACTATAAATCCACTATATAGTCCTGCTTTATATAGTGATGGAGGGACTCGGGGTTAGGCTGGACGTTCGGACACACCTCTGGACAAAGTCAGCTAGCGTAGACCGTACCTGCTGGTCCTCTTCCTCCTCATCTTCCTCCACGGTAACTTTATCGAGTTCAGACACGAGGCCAAACAACTCCACCTGCAGCTGTGAACATCACGAGGCTCATTTCAGGTGTTAGTCTGACCTGTGTTTTTATGACACGACAGTCTGAGGGAATCCAGATAGTCTGTTCCCTCTGACTGTACACGTAACAAACTGCTAAATTTGGTGATGTCTGATTGGTTCGCTGTTCTTTGCCCTGATTGGCTGGTTGGTGTCAGGTGTTTGCTCACATTGTTCCTGGGTTTCTGCGAGCATCTCTGCAGCAGAGTCGACGACACAAGATCCGACTCCTCCCCTGCAACTTTGGGAAACAGGAAGTAATGTTATTACATCGTCACTGTGACATCACTCTGTTGTAACTGCGCTGTCACCTGTGACTCTCCTCTGATTGGCTGGAGGCCTCCTTGGTCTCTCTGCAGGTAAAGTCCCGCCCCTTCTTTTCTGGTCCTTCATGTTTCCAGGAAGCACCGACTTCAACAGGCCTCTGGCTCCACCTCCACTGACCTCCACCTGCCTAGGGGGAGGAGCCTCTCTGAGCTTCTCTTTGATGTGGAGGAGGAGAGCTCCACCTGGTGGTAGGAGGCTGGAAGGCAGACTCTGAGCTTCTCTGTGCCTCTGTCTCCTCCTCACGCTATCTGACACCTCCTCTTCCTCTTGCTGGAGCAGGGGCTTTTTCTCTGGCAGTTCAGGTGTGATGTCATCAAACGAACTCCGCCCCCTTGCTGTAGGTCGTTTCTGTGCTGTCGCCTCCATGATAACCACAGGGGACAGAGGCGTTCTGGCGAGGTCTGAATCAGGAGTGGAGTCATCTGATGTGGCGAAGGAAGCGATGCAGGGCGTCCCAGAGGGGAGTGAAGGGGAGGAGATGCGGGGCTGTGGGGTGGAGGCGCAGCCACGTTGCACAGGTGTGTCTGAGGCAAGAGACACAGACTCCTCCTCTGACCAGGAAGAAGGAGTAAAAACCATAAAATGATTTGATGAAAAGAGAAACAAACAGAAATAGGAAGCAGAAAAGAAAATGGAAGCCACAATAAATAAGAATAAAGGACAAAAATTGAGAAAATAAATCCAAATATATCCCAGTATGGAGCCTCAATTTTCACACATACAAATACACATATATGATTCATACATCCACAGGACAAGATTCACACATGCACAGCAGGATTCACACAGGCACAAAAAAATCAGCTGATTTTTTGTGTGCTTTTTTTTTGGTGAAAATTGAGACCGATCGAGGTCTATATCCCAGAGTAAAATATCAGTATTTCAGGACAAAAATAATTTTAAAAAACACTAAAAACAATATCATGCAGGATTAAAATGTATTCATTTAAAAAGCATTATTAAAATAAGAGGTCTTCAACGTTTTCCAGGCCAAGGACCCCCAAACTGATGGCCAAATGGAGCGGGGAGCCCCTAATTATATATATTGTATGAAATTGTGTTCTATCAAAACTGGTCCTATAGTCACTCTATTACAGATGGAGTAATGTAACTAAAGTTACATTACTCCATCTGGTTGATGGGACAGGTGTTGTGAATGAAACGGTGCCCAGGTTGAAAGAGCTCCTGTGTGTCACTGAATGTGTGCATTGATGACTGAAAGACATCTTCTGCCTCCATTTATCTGTTTACTACAATGTGTTGAATTCATGTTAATGTGGATTTAAAGTCGTAGGGAAAGCGGCTGTTCCAAACGTTGCATTCTCCCGAGTGGTGCCCCACTTTACAGGAGTGAATAAAGTGAATGTGATTGGTCGATTATCAAGGGGGCGGGATTGTTGTGGCTGAAGGTTCGCATGCATGTTTGGTTGTGGCCGGTTTGTCGGAAGCATCTTGCTAACCAGTTAGCAACTTAGTGCTAGTAGGTTCCCAATGGGAAATTCCATTGGGACCAAGTAGCACTAAATTGGTGACTTAGAAACGACACTGTCAAGGAACGCTATGGACAGAGGAAACATGCAAGAGGAGGAGAGTTTAGTGTCGGAGGTCGTGGATGAGTCTCCTCCGTCATACATTTTTATTTAGAGGAGGAAAGCGGGGACGAAGATGTTGTGGAACAGGACGCCAGGGTGGCAGAAGCTTGGTTTGGTGTAGAAGGCTTCCAGCCGTACATGTTTGAGCCCTTGCCTCGCAACGCTGCCAGTTCTGTTAGCTCTACGCCTGCTGAAGACACAGACGTCCATCCCCGTGAACACTGGGACGGAACTCAGTGGGAAAGGAAATTATTCTTATTTCTTTTTTCAACCATTTTGCATATTAGCTGCAACATATGAATCAAGATGCTATGACCGAAAAAATGTGATTGACAGATGATCGTTGATATATGATTGGCCGAATTTAGGTGTTCAGGCTGATGTATAACTAACTGGCCTGCAGAAGATAACGGGGAAAAACAACACAGAGTTTAAGACAGGATTTTTTTTTAAATAGAAATGTTCTAAATTTTGGGACAATATCATCTGATAAAGAGTACCGGTACATTTATATACATGTTTATGCCAGAATGGTGTGACATTTAAATATAATTTCCCCACAACTTTAAAGACATTTTAATAAGTGGAAAAAATTGAAGCAGGGAATATTAATCTAATCAACCAAAACTTTTGTGACCCCCATGCAGTACTTTCATGGACCCCCTAGGGGTCGCGGACCCCCTGTTGAAGACCTCTGATTAAAATAATGAAAGCCTGTTAAAAAATGTGTTAAATCTGATTTATGGTTATTATTGATAAAGCAATGAGGTGCATTAGTTTATAAACTGGAATGAGACATGGAGGCTTTTTAAAATGATCATTTGGTTTGGTTGTTCTGGTTCTACCTGTTTCCTCCTCTAACAGGAGCCACAGACCCGAGCGACGCTCCGTCTCCCACGGGCTGTACTCCCCCTCTACCAGCAGGGGGCGACATAGAGCACATCACAAAAGGCTACACACACACACACTTCTACGCACACCTTCAACAGGAGCTGAACTCACCGTCGCTGGATTCGTCTTCAGTGCTGCCTTCCTCTCCCTCCTCCTCCTCCTCCACCTCCTTTGGCTCCTCACTTTTCCGGGGGAGTGGAGGATCTCTCCACGGAGCTGTCGCTTCCTGTGAGGAAGCGCAGCCCGGCCCTTCTCCACCCTCCTCTTCCTCTGAACTGAAAGCAGGAAGCACAGTCCCAATTAAAGCCTTAATTAATTTAATTTAGATTTAAGTTTAATAAAAGATTTAGCATCAAATTTAACACCAGTTTTACTGTTTTCGAGGGGTGTAAATAATAATCGTTTCGTATCGATGCATCGATCAAACAGCCAACGATCCGATGCATCGACACATCAGCATCGATTCATGTTTGTTTTTTCCCTCCGGTCTATTTTTATCCATTTGCTCCTGGACGTAATTCTGACTCCATGCTGCGGTGGCGCTAAACCTATTTCGCCCTCCTACCTCGCTTCCTTTAGCCACTCCCCTCTTTCCGCTTGCACACACACACATGCGTAAACACAAATATTTTTCAGCGAATGAGGTTTTCCTGGGCATAGGTGGAGTACAACTTTGCTACTTCTGTTATTTGCTGTTGTTTCTCAAATAAAATGCATAACGATATTAAAGCTTTCATTGATTTATTTCAAATATGAAACATTGTCTAGCCTGTAAGGTAAAAAAAATTATTAATTAATAGAATCGAATTGTGGTGTATTCTTGAGTATCGAAAATAATCAAATTGTTGGGTCAGGATATTGACACTGAATCGAATCGCCATGATGGGTGTGATTTACACCCCTACTTTCTACTGTTCTTAAAAAGAATGAAAAATATACACAAGGATAAATAATAAAAAAAACTACAACTTCAATAAAGTTTTGGGCTCAGAAATTCATCTAATCTTTTATGCTTATTTCTCACCAAAGCATCGGTTTACTCACCAAAACTTACATTTTAAAAAGGTATATATAAAACCGTGTTTTAGACACTGTTATTAAATTCTTATTTAATGAAAACTGAACTGACTGAGCAGGGGAAAAAAAAATTTTGTATTTCATAATGTTTTTATTTCCATGTAAATTCAGTGTCTGGAAAGATAAAGTCTACATGATCTCCAGAAAGGTTTGCAACAAATGAAAAAAGAGGGTTTATTTCTCTGATTGTATGTCTTAAGTGTATTTTCATCTGTTTCAAGCAGAAAAACGACAATTTACCAAAACATTAAGCTTTATGTTTAAAATGTCATTATCCTTTTTGAAGTGCATAGAATATAATTATCTCTAAATACTCATTTGATTGCAGATCATCTTATTTATCTGCTCCAACTAAGGACAAAAAACACAAACTTTAAGGAATGTTTACTTATTTTTAGATTCGGTGAAGAATCATTTCGGCATCATAGCCAAAAGTAAATATATATTCATATACTTTTTTTTTTTTTTCACCATTTTAAGCACTTGGTGGAAGTATTTTAAAAAATATATATATTTGTTTGGATTAAAAGTAGCAGCTATGACCTTTTCATTTTTTAGTAATCCACATTAAATTTTATTTTCTTTTAAATTTTCCTGTGGTAGGCACAGACTGTGCTAACCTCCACAAAACACAGATAAATTCAGTTTAAATATATTTTATAGGACATATTATACTCTTGACAGCAAACATAAAATTGACAGTAATGAGCTTGTTTCTTACTGCACATCTGAAAAGATAATATACACTGCAAAAAATTTTAGTCTACATAAGTCATTTTTTCTAATAATAAGTGAATTTTTTCTTGAACTGAGGAGTAAAGTGAGACATTTTACCAATGGAACGGGATAAATTATATTTAAAATAAGAAAAAAAACTATTGCATTGTCTTATTTCAAATGCATATTATCTAACTATCCTATTTTAAGAGAAAAACACTCATTCTATTGGCAAACTATCTCATTTACCAACTCAAATTAAGGGTAAATACACTATTTACTTATTTCTAGATAAATTTTCCAGTGTATAATGTTGGAGAAAAAACATGCAATCTTTGAAAAAAATCTGGGGCCCCTTCATAGACATTCTGCCCTCTCTGGACCCAGCTGTCTATGGTGAAGTGAGCCTTCCTGGACCAGCTTCAACTTATTTAAGTTCCTAATTTATGTACTTGATAGTAATATGTTGAATTATACAGATATAAATGTGCTCAGATGGACGCGTTGCGTACAGAGATGGAAGGATATTAAGAACCATATGAGGAAGGGAGGATGGGAGGGGGAAAGTTTGTGTTATAATTTGTTTCGCTGTTTTCTTTTAGTGATAAAAATCAAAAATCATCTTCCTTGTATGGTGTGCCTGTAAGACTATATATATTAATAATTTTGTTTAATAAAATATAACTTTCAGTATAACTAAATGCTTGCTATACACCATAAATATCTTGTAAAAGCTTCAGTTAATAAAATAAATCTTAAAATAAAATCTTCTTGTAGTGTAATTATATGCACTATTTTAGAGAAGCAATAATTTAATAAATAAAGAACTTTATTTTGTTGTTTTTGTGGTTGAATACAATGTAAAAAGTTAGTTTGGAGTTTATTTTATGCCAAACAAATTAACAAATAAACAGCTTTCTTATTTTAAATCAGATTTTTTTAAGTTGTTCTACAACATTTTAGCAATAGTAATGAAGACATTAAATACAAAATAAGACAATATTTTACAGAAAATGGTTTGATAGAGGAATATTACTTGTAAGCCAATAACTATATCTAAATGGTCATTTATTGTCTTAATGTGGCTTTATTTAACTTTTCCAATTTCCTGTTATCCCTAAGGAAAATGCTGTTGTCTTTGACGCGATCCCCAGTGGGTCATTAAAGCTTTTATCATCTTTATCGACACGTTAAATTCACTCAATGCCAAGTTTTGATCCAAACTCCATTTATATTGATTATGATTGTCCTTTTCTAAGTAAGAAAACAACCAACAAAAGGTTAAGAAATATTTTATTATGAGATGCTGTTTTTCACCAGCTTGTATATTTTACTGGTCCAGCATTTAATTAGACTTGGTTGCTTCTTAAAAAATATTCAATAAACAATAAAGTAAGAGAAGTTTTGTATAAAGTTATTCATATTTTTTTATCCTGTTAAAGTATTTTTGATAAAAAGATATAAATGGGATTTGGACCTGATGTGTACTTTTTGTAAATATAATGAAGAAAAGCTTATTCATCTATTTTTGGGATTGTAATTATACCAAAATATTCTGGTAAATTTTTTTTCATCAACGAAATCTCAGTATTACTTTAACGGATAAAGTTTTGTTTTCGGATGGAGAAATGTGAACTTGTCAAAACAAAATTTTTATGTTGTTAACTTTTTTTTATTATTTATGGTAAATATCATATTCACACCTCCAAATATTTACAACAACAAAAAATCCAGATTTATTATCCTCTATTAATATCAACATAGAATCGTTAAAGTTTAGCTGAAATGCTAAAGCCATTCAAATGATAACTGCCCTTAAAGAATTGCATCCCTCACGTACAGATTTGATTTTGACATTGCAAAATAGTTGCTCTATATTCTGTAAAGCCCTTTAATGATGTAACCTAATGTAATTATTAATATTCTATGTTTCCCTGTATTTTCTTTATTTGCAGTAAAAAATAAATAAAATAAAAAATAAAAATTTTAGCCCTATTTTTTAGTATATTCTCGGCCCTGTTGGCTTTCCGTACCATCCGGCCCTCGCCTCACCTGACATGAACCCCCCCATCCACGTCCAGGTTAAACCGGTTCAGAACCTCCTCAGAAACCTCCTCAGGCTCCTCCCTGCAGTTTTCCAGCTCGATCCTCTCGGGCGTCGCCGCCATCACAGAAGCAGCTGCAGACACACCAACACGGCCACGCACACACACAGACACACACACAAACACAAACACACTAAAGCCCACATTGATTCGGTTTTTTAAAGGGGCGGCCTCGGTGTGAACACGTATGAAGACTGACGGGACAGGTGAGGCGAGCTCACCTGAAGAACAACGGCGTTCGCTCAGGGAGTCGGAGAGGGACGGAGCTGAAGACAGCAACGGCTGGAAAAGGGAAGCATTATTTTAGTTCATATCAATCAGAAAAAAGATGAACAAACACTGAGGTGCATAGTGGGATCCATCTTCTGTAACCATGGCAATCATCAGGAACAACATCTGCTGATGGTCCTGCAGTCAGACTCTGGGTTTTTGCTCACCGTTGATGTTCCAAGCGACGCAGAGGGAGTCAGCCTCTTCCTCGGGGTGGGAGCCCCCAGCTGACAGTCAGGATGCTGCAGACAGTGAAAGCTCCCTGGCAGAGACAGGAGACGGTGGACAGAGTTAGGACCCACCATCCAGCAGCGCAGGACTGAGCTTAACAGCTTTTATACAGACTTCTGCCTTTACTTCAAACCCGGGTCATGTGACCTCTGCGCCCCGTTGGCTGCTGAGGTTTTAGATGCACAATAACATCTCTGTCAGTGAAGATCTGCAGATAAAAACCTCCCAGATGTGCAGAGAGGAGGCTGCAGGCTGGTTACATGACAGCAACATGTGACCGCTAACAGATCATTTTAGTAGAAATGGGAATTAGGCAGCAGTAAGACTCAAACCTGCCTCTCACAATGTGCAGATCGATTCAGGACAACTCTGCTCTGCAGAAGCTAATCACAAATCAGGTGCTGCAGAAATCTTTATGCAGGTCCGGTAGGAGCTTCTGAAGCTAAAACTGGTGTCAAACGGCAATTAAACCCAAATAGGACAGAAATTAGATTACGTTTCACACTTGTGTTATAGCTGTAGCTTTTAGCTTAAAATCTGACTGTCAGACATTAACCTTGTTGAAATGTTTTGCCTCAAAAACATTAACATCTGCATTCATCTGAAGCCAACCAGGAGTGAATGTAATGGATCCTCTGACTGTAAGGGACTGTGGTCCTGTAGTGATACAGAAAGATAAGGTTGTGTGTCATCAGCTTAATTATTACCACAGAGTATTAGGGCCAGGCTAGAGATTTTTTTTTCTATTTCGAGAAAAAAGTCATAAAATTACGAGAATAAAGTCACAATGAAAATAGCCATATAATTATGAAAATAAAGTCGTAATAATATGAGAATAAAGTCGTAACACTACAAGAATAAAGTTGTAAAATTAGGAGTATAAGTAGCTCTTACAAGAAGCACCCTTTTCCTGAAAATTAGGAATGTTGAGCATCATGTAAATTTATACTTTGCTTCTGGTTTGACAAATAAGGAAATTTTGTAACTAGTGTTGCACCGATAAGAAATACCAGTGTCCAGCACTAAAATGGTGGTATCACATCGGCGAGTACCATTAAATATGACACCGATATCATTTTGAGAGCCAAAAGTTTATTCAACTATTGTCACCCATTCCAGGTAGGCAATAAAAAGTTCTACTGGATTCACTTTGTATTAGTCTTTTTCCAGCTTCACAAAGGTAGGCAGCAGCTTGACAAAGCCATGATGGCAATTATTTTACCTCCAAGTAGTATGAAGTTCTTCATATATACACACACACATCAAGTTCAAACAGATGGTATCGGTATCGGCCAATACTGCACAGCCAGGTATCAGATATCGTATCGGGGCCAAAAAATGGCATTGGCGCATCACTAGTTTTAGCACCCCAGCATCAAATTGGGCAGGAAGTCAAAGTGGACTCAAGTTGCTGTTTGGTGGAGCTGGTCGGCCGTCATATGCTGGTCGGAGCTTGAAGCTTTCTTTCTGAAAAGGGTTGTGGTACGACAGTGTATTCTCATTATCAGTTCGTATAAAATGGTACGAAAAGTTATGCACAGTAATTTCGTACGTTTTTGACGTTTTTTTCGTCGTATTTCGTCGTATTTTTACGTCTTGCCTCGAGACAAGATATCCTTGCGCATGCGCATGTTACGCACCATTCAATAACATAGAATTTAACATACAATTAACCCTAACCCTGACCCTAACCCTAAGATACAAAACAGCAAGCAACCTAGTGAGAGACATCAATAAGTACTTATTGCACAGTTTTTCCCAGTTTTTTGTCCGTCCGCGGATCTGCTTTTTTCGTCTGTCTGGCTGCGCATGCGCACTGACATGTTTTTTCGAGGAAAAACGTCCAAAACGTACGAAATACTGTGCTTCACTTTTCGTACGATTTCATATGAACTGATAATGAGAATATGTTGGGTATGATGACTTTATTCTCGTAATATAATGACTTTATTCTCAAAAAATTTCTAGCCTGGCCCTAATAAAATATTAACATGCTAAAGTAATAAATAATCTGAGCGGGGGGATCGAGAACATGGGGAGTAAAAGTGGCCTGAGAAGGATTCCTGGATGGATGGATGGATTCCTGGATGGATGGATGGATGGATGGATGGATGGATGGATGGATGGATGGATGGATGGATGGATGGATGGATGGGTTGCAGAGGATGGGTTGCCCAGATGCTCAGGGCGACCCAGAGGCGACACCAGGCCAGCTCAGAGACATAGTCCCTCCAGCGTGTCCTGGGCCTTCCAAGAGACCTCCTCCCGATAGGACATGCTGGAGCACCTCCAGCATGTCCTCCAGCAAGAAGGGAGGCAACCAGAACCAGGAGGCATCTAGAACAGATGCCCGAGCCACCTCAGCTGGCTCCTTTCGATGTGGAGGAGCAACGACTCTACTCCGAGCTCCTCCCGGGTAACTGAGCTCATCTTTTGGATGTAAAATGATCAAATGACAGAGGAGAAGCAGAAAGCCCCGCCCCCTTTCTAAGATCAGCAGATCATCAGATCCAGGAACTGATCTCAGAATAAAGCTAAATTTTTCATGTTTTTGAGTCTACATTTAAATCTTAGCTCAGAGTTCAGTGTGTTTAACGGTACATGTTGGAAAATGCTTAAGTTTGCAGTTCTTATTCTTTAGTCTTATCATATCACTGCAGTTAATCCGATGTCATGTTGAACATTGGCCCTCTGTTGAACATTACGGTGCAGATAAAGCCGCTTTATGGTTCCGTTGATGTTCGGATAAAAAATGCAGACCGCAGTCATGAGTGTGTGCCTGCAGGTCCTCAAACAGCTGCTGGCTGCTGCTTTGACATTTCTTCATTTACAAGAACAACAAAAAAAACATGAAGCAAAGACTCAGAACTAAAAGCACAAACTGAGGGTCTAACATGACTGTAGGTTTTAATTTTAGCTTCAGGTCACTGCTGAGGTTCAAAGCTGCAGGTTTGAGGCCATGGTGGAAATTTCCACAGTAACTTAACATGATACAAGCCAGTAACTCTAGTCTAGGTCAGTTGGCTCGTCAACAATACACATAAGACGGCAAACGTTAGCCTTTAGAAGCAAAACCCCATCATGCACCACAACATATTTTTGCTAAATACTCGAACATAAATTCGCCAAATATAAGAGGAACATCGTAGTTTGGTTTAAAGAAAGCATTTTAGTTTTATTATAATTTAGTTTGTTGCAAGAATTTTACACTTTGAAGAAATAGAAAATGACCCCATATGCCAACCGTCACAAGGATGTGCACGACCAGGAAGGGCTATATATACTGCATGCATCATTTAGGTAGTTAACATTGTATTACTTCTTTAGCTCCTTCAGTTATTTACTGTCACAGGTAGGTGCTTGGGACGGAGAGAAAGTTTTGGTATGATTTAAGGAGGGCCGGCCCTCGTGCGCTGAAATTAGGACCGGCCCACCGGGCAAATACCCGGTATCACAGATCACCAGCCCGAGCCTGTGCTCTTCAAATAATACAATGCAATTGCTTTCTCTTATTTTAAATGTAAATTGTCTTGTTCTATTTGCAAAGTGTCTCACTCACCTCCTCAATTCAAGAAAAAAGGCACTTATTTTAAGAAAAAATAATGACTAATTTAGATTTCAATGTTTTGCAGTGTAAATAATTTCCCAAACTTCCAGGATGTATCAAGAATTCAAGAAGAACACAGTCTGAAAATACAGGGTTCTGGTAAAGTACTCTGAACATCCAGCCAATGTTTCTGTTGGTTTTTGGAAAAGTAACCTTTAAAGGTGAATTCCGGTTTTTTACACTTTAAGCCCATTTTCTGTAGTGTCCAGGATGAAATCGAATGATCGACACCAAAAGTTTGACAATTGCTCCTGTCTCTGCTTTTTGGCTCATTTAGAATCCACCCCTGGCTGCTTTAGAATGGCTTCCATTGTGCATGTCCGATAATGTCCTTAAAACAACCTTAAACGTTCTTTTTTTTAAATATGCTACTCACCGTGTCGTCAGCGCTGTTCAATGACGTTCCAAAAAAAGTTTCGTGAAGAAAAAAACGTTCCTGTAGTGTTTTATTTAGCATTTTGTAAATCCCATTGAGTTCTGTTGGAATAGTCAATATTCCGCTGCCACCGGAAACGGAAATGGGGCCTGTTTACACAGTTGTAGTCTTTTCGCTTCACTCTGCGTACTCCGACGTCGAGGTGCTAACGTCTCTGTTAAACACTTTAAAAAACTCTGAAAATGGAATACGAAAGGTGGATTCTTGATTCTCGACGTTGGAGTACACAGAGTGAAGCGAAAAGACTACAACTGTGTAAACAGGCCCCATTTCCGTTTCCGGTGGCAGGGGAATATTGACTATTCCAACAGAACTCAATGGGATTTACAAAATGCTAAATAAAACACTACAGGAACGTTTTTTCTTCACGAAACTTTTTTTGGAACGTCATTGAACAGAGCTGACGACACGGTGAGTAGCATATTTTAAAAAAAGAACGTTTAAGGTTGTTTTAAGGACATTATCGGACATGCACTATGGCAGCCATTATGAAGCAGCCAGGGGTGGATTCTAAATGAGCCAAAAAGCAGAGACAGGAGCAATTGTCAAACTTTTGGTGTCGATCATTCGATTTCATCCTGGACACTACAGAAAATGGGCTTAAAGTGTAAAAAAACGGAATTCTCCTTTAAAGTGAAAAAGTACTTGGTACTACAGGTGAAGTATCCTGTAGGTTTTCATTAAACACACTGAATGGTACCCTGAGGGTTCTGGGTAGAGGATCCTCTAAGGGAGTGAAAGTACAACAAAAGTCAGGAGATTTATTTACTGCAGTGAATCAGGTACTGAAACCTGTGGATTGTAATGCTAGGTTCAGACCGTATGCATTATTGGCAGCAAAAACGCAGGTGCTGCTTCTTTTTTTTATGCTTGTACCTGTTAGTTCATACATGCGGCTGAAGCATCTTTGCTGCTCTAGCTATGCGTTCGAGAAGTGGGTCTAATGCGGGCTGGGTGGAGCTACCCTATCCTTTCTTTGGCTGCAACTATGGCGGATGAAATCGGGCGAGTGGTCGCCGTATCTGGATTTACCAGATAATTCAGAGGCGTTCAGTTTATGGAGAGTTTTCCACTATCCTCGCTTACCCGAGCCCAGTTTGACGACCTACTGTCCCGCATTGAAGCAGCAACATCATGTGGCGGAGCTTCTCTCTGATTGGTTGATATGGCACGTCAAACAGCAAACTTAAACTTTTCCAACTCCAGGAACTGCTGCTTTTGTAGCGCGTCAGACGCGCTGCGGGACCTTCTGCTGCGTCTTGATGCGCATCAACCATTGCCTTTACATGTCTACTAGCTGCTTCTGCTGCCTCTGCAGCGTGAGGTCTGAACGTAGCGCTAGTTTGGGGGAGAAAGTTCTTGGAACATGTTCTGCTAGTTTAGTTAGTAATGCTACAAGGTCTGGGAATTTAACTGGAATTTCGTCAAGAACTTTCTAGGTTCATGAAGTAAAGCGGCAGTTTGGACAATAAAAAAAATGTTAATCTCAATGAGCAGTTTTTCTTAAAAGACGTGAATTTATTCTTGAATTCAGGTGGCAAATGAGACACTTTCCTGATGCAACAGTTTACACTTAAAATAGGAAAAAAACAATTGCATTGTCTTATTTCAAGTGTATATTGTCTAATTATCTTAATTTAAGAGTAAAAAACTTGTTACATTATTTACCTACTTAGATGAAGGGTAAACACCTAATTTAAGACATTTTTTCTTCTTTCTAGATCGTATTTGCAATTGAAAAGTAGGTTCCTGGTGAGGCAGCATGTCAGGAAAGTATTGGAACAGCCTGAGCCTTTAAGGTCTGAGAAATCTACGGCCTACTGAACTGATCGATTGCTGTGAGACAGAGGAAGATTTTCAGGCTGGTTCTGGATACTCTTCTAGTTCCTCCACTCTTACTCCTCACAGATTTGAGATCCTGATCCTCTTGAGGACATCGTTACATCTGAGCTTTCTCTACGCTCAGTCTAAATATACTCCATCATTGATGAACTGACCGCTGTCCTGGTCGTAGGTGTAGGAAACCAGCCTGAGGGGGGCGCTGCAGGAGGCGCAACGAAAACAGCTGCGGTGGAAGAACAGCCCCTCGGCGCTCAGACGCTCCATCACATAAACCTTCTGCTTACAGAAGAAACAGACGTCACTGCCGACGGGGACCTAAAGGGATGGAGACACGCTGATTGGACATAAGTAGAACTGGAGGACGACGGAACAAAGACGAAGGAAGATTTTAAAGAAGAGGGAGAACTGAAGGAAATTAGGGCAGAAGACAAACTATTAAAGAACAACTCAAAGAGATTCAAGAAACAAAACCTTTAAAGAACTTTTCGTCTCAATCCATTCATAAACTTCAATTTATGTCACAATTTCTGACACTTTTCTCCAAAAAGGTCACATTTGTTTGATCTGCCTGAGCTCTGGATCCCTGCAGCTCCTCCAGAGCTACCACAGGACCACTGCAGTAGAATTTGATTGATTTACAGTGGTGCAGTGTCTGATCCCTACGTCTCTGCATCCTTTCTATGCTAATGTTGACATAAATACAGCCTTCCATCAGAGCTCAGAGTTCTTATCTTAAGTCTAATTTAGGTTTGAATAAAATAAACCTGATATTTCCTGAGTATTTCCCCTCCATCCGTTGTGAGGAAACCTTCTTACCAAGCTGCTCTGCTGCTGATGCTGAATACGGCGGGTTAGCTGCTCCGCCAATGAGCTCACTCCACCGGTGTACATCCGAAGACACTTTGGACACACATACAGACAGATGGACGGGGCACATGAGGACAATCACAACTAGAACAGCAGGATCACAAACTAAATCTTCCCTGAGCTCAGGCTGCATCTGACTCCAGATGACCAGTCCAGATTATTCTGCACATTTTGAATTTGAGTCGTCAGTTTTGCTGGAAGCAGCTGAAGATAAAATTAAACCCTAATTGTTGATGTTTCTGGACATTTCTGGGATCAGCTGCACAAAGTGCTCAGTCAGCAAACAGCCAGCTGCAGGCTGAACTCAGGCCCATCAATGGGAGCCATTCACGAGGTGCAGCTCGTTATCGATCACATGCAGCTCCGAGGCGCTACAGGGGCGCTGCTGAAGACGGTTGCAGCCACAGGACACAACAGCTGTCTCCTAAAAACTCAGGACAGGGGAGGGCCCAGCGGGTCGCTCTGGGTCACGTCTACAAGCAGTACCTGCTCGTCCCTGTTGGCGGCACAGTGAGACTTGATCCTCTCTTTGAAGCGAAAACTCATCTGCTCCTGCTGAAGAGTCCGTTTCTTCTGACAGAGACAGGACACCATCAGAGGAACCCCCAATGCTCTGCTGGTCATTAATGTCATATTTCTGCCCTACTTACTACCAAAAGTGCATAATATAATGTTATAGGAGCAGTTTTATTTAAAACACACACTTAACTTCCTCTCCATGTGCATTGTAACCATTTTATATGTACAGATTTAGTAGCATGTGCCCCACAATATGTCAGCCATGAGCTCCTTCTCTTGATTTTTATCCACCTTTAGATTATTTCCTCACCTGTGGACCCATATATGTGGCCTTATGTCACTTTAAGGGAAAGAACCAACCTGAGAAAATGAACCGATTGGCTACTGTTCAGGAGACCCCGTCTCTCGAGGCAGTACTGTCTTAGTAATGTTAGCCAAGCAGGAGAGTCAGACAACCTGATCTACTCTATCAGAAGGAGATGTGTTGCATTGCGGGAAGCTAATGGTGGTCGTGTCAACAATGACCATTTGTTTCCTACAAGTAGAATAACTGTTTTATTTGTCTAAAATCACTATGAAAGTAATTTTTTAAGATGTCCCATTTGTCCTCTCTGCCCTCAGATCTTAATAAAAATAATAAAAGGAAACTGAGACTTTTTTTTGTCACCTTCTTAAATGGCATAGCTCAGTCTGTCTTAGAAGGCAGAACTTTCCTTCAAGACTGACAATGATTGTTTTCTACTTTCGGCTACTTTAGATCGCCAATGAAATGTTAAATAATAGCAAATATAGGTAATAATATGTTGAGACTTGATTCTGTCCGAGTGGGGTTGCCATACTTTGACGTCATAAGAAGAGGCAAGGCCCCAAGCAGATCTGACCACCCGAGCAGATGTAGTACCTATACCGGTTAGAGCCAAATTCTTTAGTCTAGTTCTTTATGAAAACGTGGCAACTTTAACGCTTTTTAACTTGTTGAGTCTACTTTAGCCCAGTGGTCTAAATGTGAAGTTTGCCCCCAGACAAATCAGAATTCATTGGCCTTATTTAAACAAGCTGGTCTCATAAATAAACATGTCTCTATTTCCTAATAACCAGTGCAACTGCGTCAAAATCAAACTACAAACTGAAGTAAAAGAGACATGAAACATGGTTTGTATGGGGTGAACATCTTTATCTTCATAAAGGCTGGAAGTTTTAGGGTTCTGGGTTTTTTCTCTGCTTTGTTTTGTTTGTTGTCAGGCATCTGGCCCGTCGGGGTCACAGAAAGTCGGACTTTACCCGACCCACTTACAATTTTGATATATTTTGAATGGTTGCATTGTCACCGTTTAATTTTCAGGATTTTCTTTAGGTTTTTCCACTGAATGTTTAGGTTAGAGTGTGATGATGGTTCTGCTCGACTGAATTAATCAGAACGTTTTTGGATTTAAACTCATTTCCCCTCACACTCAGATGTGTTTAAAAACCTTTTTTTATGTTTAAAAAATCTAACAAGGTAAAGGGAGCGTGGAGGTCTCTACTGGGCTCTATTGGTTTTACCGGTCTCCATGACGACGTCTGAACTGGTGGAGTGAGCTGCTGCTGGTTTGCAGACTCTGAAGGAGAAGGGAGGCTGGAGGGCTCCCCCTGCTGGTTAGAATCAGGTTTTGTTTTTGTATGACATAGATGAGATTATCAAACATGCTATTCTTTTATGATGTAGGATATATTGAATATCAAAAGATAACTTTGGAAATGAACAAACTAAACATTAAGCTCCAATCTGCGTTTAATGTGGAAGAACTTTCCTGTTTAGGTGATTCACATATGATTCAGACTGACTCTGCTCTCACCTGCTGACGTAGAGCTGAAGCAGAAGACGAGGAGGAAGTCATGCAAGAGCCAGAGCTCTCGTCCAGCTTTGCCTGCAGCTGATTGGCCATCAGACGAACTCTGGAGCGACTGGTACCGCCCACAAAGTTCTCCTCAAAGTCACAGTTAAAGTCAGACGACTGAAAGGCAAGAAAACAGAAAGATCTGAGAGGCAACATCTGAGGGAAAACCTGATTTTCATCTTTTTTTTACTGGTTCTACCATCCATCCATCATCCATCCATCCATCTGTCATCCACCATCCATCCATCCATCTGTCATCCACCATCCATCCATCCATCTGTCATCCACCATCCATCCATCCATCCATCCATCCATCATCCATCCATCTGTCATTCACCATCCTTCCATCCACCATCCATCATCCATCCATCATCCATCCATCCATCCATCCATCATCCATCCACCCACCATCCATCCATCATCCATCCATCCATCCATCCATCCATCCATAATATTACTCAAGAAAATGTCTGCTCATTGCCATATTTAGTTGGTCAGCTCAGTTCGTCATTTCTGGACCAAGTTTAGTAGAAAGATATTTGTGAAAGGGAGTTACACCAAAGGAGCTCTGACCTCCTCAATCTCTCCACTCTCCTGACTCGGTTTCCTCCTTTTGCCCAGAGCATCGCCACGCTCCTACAGACACAGCAGATCAGTACCAGCTTAAATCTGAGATAAAACCCAGCCAGCTTTAGAATGATGAAAAACTGATACCTTTGGGTTTCTCTTCCTGGAAGAACTGGTTCCCAGTCTGCTGAGGAGGGAAGCTGGAGTGATGAGAGCTGCTCTCAGATCAGCATTCTGACTCAGAGAGCCTGAAACAGACACCAACACTCGCTGCTTTAATAATCAGGACAGACAGTTGTCTCCATGTCTTATGATCTTAAGATGACATGTTGACTAGATTCGTCTGATGCCCAGGACATGTCCTGTTTAACCTAAATGATATTGTTGCAGTGTGCAGTCTCACCAGCAGGGCGCAGCGATTCTTTATACACCTGGTAGAGCTGACTCAGGTACATCACCATAGAAAGAGAGTCTGGTTCTCCAACAGAAGACATTTCTTCCACCGTCATCAGAGGAGAAATCCCAAACTCTTGCTCGGCCACGTCGAACGCAAGTTGGATGTTTTCCTCCACTGATGACTCGTCCAAACGGTCATAGTCTCTGTTGTTGGACAAAGTTTGGGGTCAGAACACAAGCGGTCTGAACACGGATGCTTTGAAACATGAATCTGAGGTAAGTTACATCAGATCTGGTCGGCACCGATGGATAAGAGCACACAGGGCAAGGCCACTCTTCCAGGAAGTAGTCAGGTCACAAACGGTGACCCCTCTGTAACCGTGAGTCTGCTGCTGACACCAAGTCAACAGGTGATTGGACTGAGAGAAGGAATCTGTGCAGGAAAAATTAGAAGACCAATCGGATTAAGGATGGGACACTTTGAGGAAGAGGGTCAGAGTTCTCTTATGATTCTGACACTGCAGAGATACATCTATGACCATTTACCAATTATTGTGGTCAGTTGAGACAAACAAAGAAAGAGGTTCATATGAGGAGTTAGGTTTATACAGCTAAAGTCTTTAACTATGTTCCGAATGACACCACACCATTAAGGCATCTTCTGTACCTAAACAGGTAAACAGTCCGAGATAGTAGCACAGAAAATAGGTGCTGCTGTTCTTTTTTATGAGTTGTAAGTCCAGGAAGAGGCCCAGAACTACTAGGCTTTGGCACAGTCACGGAGCCCCTTAAAGCTATAACCATTGTAGAATGACTATACCTTGTGTGGCGATACGCCTAGAACAAATTTGCGGAGAAAAAAACAACAGTAGTAACAGTTGACCCAGTTACAGTGACAGTCAAAGGCTAGAGGCTATTTGAGGGGGATCACAGACTAACGTCTCTGCCTCTCTACACCAAGGATGGAAATTCCACTTACTGAGGGCTGGAGATCTGATTGTTCCTTATGTTCCTAACAGAGCGCTCCGCTCTCAATCTGCTGGTTTACTAGTGGTTCCTAAATTCTAAAAGTTCTAAATTCTAAAAGTAGAATGGGAGGCAGATCTTTTAGTTATCAGGCTCCTCTCCTGTGGAACCAACTACCAGTTTTAGTCCATGAGGCAGACACCCTGTCTACTTTTAAGGTTAGGCTCAAATCTTTCCTTTTTAATAAAGCTTATACGTAGCTAGAGTGGCTCAGGTTAACCTGAGCTATCTCTATAGTTATGCTGCTATAGGTTAAGGCTTCTGGAGGTAATCTAAACCTGATCATTCTGCTTTATTCTATCTCTATTCTCCCACTCTGCAGAATCTGCTAATTCAATCTCTAATGTTCTGATCTCTCTGCTTTTTCTCATGGTAGCTTCATCTGGTCTGTTCCTGTTTGGCTGTGACACCATCCTGGAGAGAAATATAAGCTGTGCTGCTGCCATCAACACCTTTGTTTATAGATGTTGGAGATCAGCCTGTTTTTCAGTGTAGTCCTGTTTCTGACTGTGATTGGCTGGATGTGCTCATGGGAGCTGGCTCAGAGCTTGACTCCATGGCTGTGTGTTTCCTGGATGTACATCCAGTTCCTCCAGAGTCCTCTCAATCATCCAATTACTTGATTTAGGTGTGTTGAACCAAAAAGACAATCTAAAAGTTGCAGGATACCAGCCCTCAGGAACTGGCATTGCCCACTCCTTGCTCTACGCCATAAGGTGTAGGTAGAGGTTTTTTGGGACACAGGATGAACATCGTTTCTATGGAGGTTTCATCCATGAACCAAAGAATGGACATGGGCACTTAGAGCTAGCAAGTCTCCTGAAAGCCAAATTACCTTGTCTTAAGAGTCTGGGGGAAGGCAGCCGGGTAATCTCACTTTCACTCGTGTTTAGCCCCGCCTCGTTGCCTGTGTTCACCAGGTGTCTCACCTGGAAACCAGAAGATTATCAACATAAAGTTTTCAGCATCAAAATTAGATCCCAGACGGTTCTGTAATTCACCTGAGCAGGTGTGACTGTCAGTGGGCTTATGTTTATGTATCTTGTCACTGGGTCTACTGTGAACAGATTGATGCTCTTCTGCATGTTCTCTGGAGTTGTCTGAGGGAGCAGACGGTACAAACTCTCCCTAGGTGAAGAGCATATTTAAATAATTTAAAAAAAATTTAAAAAGCAGGAAGTACTTCTTGAGTTTTGGTCTTCTTACCTTTCAGCCAGGACATCAAGAGGATCTGTACCCTGTGCCCAACTTCTTATCATCCAAGCTGAATCCAGAGCTGCTAGGAATCCCCGAGCTACACCCGTCCCCATCGGCCAAAAGGGCTGCAGACAAGGAAAAAGATCGGTCCAAACCTGCCCCATCCATTGGACCTCTGCATTTCTTGATCATGGCGAGAAGACACCGGTCTCACCTCCATCAGACTGTCTCCAACCAGTGTAACCAGCAACTGGTGGCCGTGGCGTTGACGAATCATAGCGGCGTTTTCCGAAGCGTACATGCAAGTAAAGTCAAACATGGCAACGTCCGGCTGACCATAATGGTTCATGGCGAAGTCCAAAATTGGCAGTTGGTGATTGGTGGAAAAGTCTGCGGCCTCACGGGCATATGACTGCAAAGCTTCCTGGTCCACATTCCCTCGAGAAAGAAGCTGTGCAGTGTCTGCAAAGTCCTGACAGGGGACAGATCTTTTAAGCCGGGCATGCACTCTACGGTTTTTTCAGTTGGTGCACACAGCTAAAGCTCAAACTGTATGAAGAAACTGCAGAGTTTAAAGTCATAGGGAAGCGGCTGTTTGAACAGTTGCAGTTCTGAATTCTCCCGAGTGGTGTCTGAGTTTAAACGAGTGAATAAAGTGAATGTGATTAAATTATCAATGGGGCAGGATGTTGTAGCGGTAGGCTGATTGACAGATGACCGTTGATATATGATTGGCCAAATATAGGTGTTAAGGCTGACGTATAACTAACTCCCCTGCATAAGATAATGAAAAAAAACCCACAGATTTTAAGGCAGGATTTTTTTTGTTTATATATATGTTTAAGCCAGAATAATTTGAAATTGAAATAAGACTTCCCTACGACTTTAAAAGTTCAAAGCTCACGATGTATCTTCTCACAATGTGTGACCCGACTCTCTGATGCGATCTACCTGCTCAAACTGTACGTCTAAAAACCACTTCGGACTCAAGTGGGCAGTGAGATGGCGCTATTCAGACTCGTCTTTCCGGAAGTCAAAAGAGTAGAAGAGGAAAAAGACCGAAGTCAAGATGCCACCTATTAAATCTGAGACTCACTAGAGTGAAACGCACTGCCTTGGCAATTTATGCAATTTTGTGTGCCCTTTACCCCTGTACACTACAAGACGCATGACATATGATCAGGCTGAAAGTCGGCCCGATTGAAAAATTCTCGTACAACAGGAGAATCGGCCCGGAAAGGGCAAAACAATCGTACAGTGTATGCCGGGCTTCAGACTTTCAAACCAAACCTCTGTTGATTACTTGGTTCCAGGTGGAATTTCAGACTGTATGGGTGGGTCCATTGCCTCTACAGTAAGTCTGTGAGTTTGTGAAAAGACACCAGGTGTGTGATTTACCTCACAGATAACTTCCTGTGTATCTAAGGGAGCTATTCACTAATAGACCAGAGGTATGTGATCGTTTTAACTGCAGAGGGACTTCGGGTGTGACAGTTACCTGTAGAGTGACTCAAAGTACGGGTTTACGTTGTAGAACGACTACTTATAGAAATGTTAAAAGGCAGATGACTTTGACATTCATTTAGGGATTGGTTTTCATTCCATTGTTGTTACAAGCAAATAATAATAGCAAATAATAATAAAGTTTTGTAAATAGAACTTTAAAAAAAGAAAAACATTTTATTAAAAAAGAGGTTTAAAGAGTAATTTTGCTGTTCCCTAAGAAGTTATTTCATTTTTTTTTTGTTTCCATTATCATTTTTCCTCAAATATTTTTCACACAAAATAAATATTTTATTTTTCCAAATTTTTTTTACAGATTTTATATCTAGAATTTCTTTTTTCTTCCCAAATTTCAATTTTCAAATTGTGTTTAACAGATCAAAATTTCTTCATATAAAGCTTATTGCAAATGCTTGATCTTGACCAATAAAAATGTTGCTAACATTCATGCAAAGAATTCAATTTGTAAGGCTCAGCCTGTAAAGCAGAATAGAGAAAATAGAAATACAAAAACTTGGGAAAAATAAAATCTGAAAAATATATTTGAAAAAAAAAACCCAAAACATTGAAAAAGAAAAATCTGAAAAAAAAAACAGACTTCTTATGAAGTGACCACAGGTGAGTGGTTTACTCGCAGGGTTTCTCCAAGTATTTCTGTTACTCTTGCTATGAGTTCAGGGGGAATTAGTACCTGTGAGGCGAGTAAAGCCTGGTTTCCAGTTAGTCGCTTTCACAAATACCTGTGATGTGTAGCATAAGTCCATGTATGACCATTACATGACAGAGTCACTTAAGGTGTTTCTCTTACCTGTAAAATGACTCCTTTGTCCAACAGACTCTGCTTCTTTGCAGTCATAACAAAGTAATGTGTGTCATCCTTGTAGTACACAATGTTTTCCAGGTCAATACCTGAAACCAGGTGCTGATGTTAGAATGAACTTCACACCAGGAGTCTCTGTAAGAGCTGCCAGGGGAAAGACAAACCAGTTTCCTGCCGCAGCTCTTGAAAGAACCTCTGGTTGAAGATGAACGCCACTCCGCTGATCTCCTCCACTTTGGCCTCTGCTGAGGTGTTTCTGTTTTTAAAGTTGGCTGTGATGGCGATGGCCAGCTTCCCCCTAAACTCTTTCCGCTTGAAACCTAATCACACAGAGAAATCCTTCTGGTCTGAAATTTCTACTAATCGAGTACTGAATGTACACCTCTGGATGAGAAGGATAAGCAGGACTGTTCTCAAACCTGGCAACGTGTTTCTGCGTCCATCTGCTCCAATGATGACGTCAAACTCCAGCTGACTGACTGGGTGGGACTTTGGACTCACCTCCATCCTCCAGCCCTCCTCTAGACATGGAGACATTTGGGATTATAAATCAGTTTGGGTTAACAAGATGACTTGAGCTTCAACCCTTTAAGTTTCAACATTGCAACTATTATTTGTAGCTTCATTTTATCAAAAAATGTAGGGTGTGTCCAGTGTCCTGCCCAAAACCTTCTTTCCCTTAAACTCATGCTCTTACTATTTTTGTGCTGGTCCTCTGGTGGCTCCACCAGCTGTTTAAACTCCACACTGACATGCACTTCCGCCCCAAGAAGCAAGGCAACCTTCAGCAAAACCAACTGCAGCTGGCGGATACCTGCAAACAAGAGACAGGTGGCACTGACTCTATAATCCACCTTGTTTCATCAGCTGAATAAACTGATCAAAGACTTACTGATGTGGTCGATAGAACTGGCACAGAACTTTCCATAGAACTTTTTGGCCCCAAGGCCCCGCAGGTCATAGATAGTGAACGGCCAAAGGTGGAGAACGTTGTTCCTAGAAAATGAGTCCCTTTTCTCCAGGACCACGACCCGGGCTCCCATGAAGCACAGCTCCACTGCTGTCCTCAGACCACAGGGCCCCGCCCCAATGATTACACACTGACCAATCAGAGGGGAGAGAAGCTGACAAATCAGAAACAGTTTATCTAAAGTGCAACATTACAGGAAAAAAAAGAACCTAGCTCCATTTGAATTGGGCCAGTCAGTAAGGACACAAAGGCAAGGCAAAGCGCATTAGCAGTTGCCATGATTGGTGCTGTCCAAATAGTGCTAGCAGTAAGGAAGAAAGGATTAAGAGGAAACAGGATGCTTCCTATCATAGTTCTTTAAGCATAGATTCCTCCAGATGTTGTATCTGCCACCTCTATACAGACAACCATAATCCTTTGGGTGACAGGAAGTATAAGCAAGGCCCACCTCACCAAGTTTCACAAAGGGTGTGTTCGATTTCAGGGACCGCGTCCTTCAAGGATCCGGTCTCCTGGGACCCGGTCCTTCGAAAACCATTATAATAAGGAGGCCGGAAGAGTTTAGCTATGGAATTTAAACTGGTCCAGTCTTCCCTGACTCTAACTGCCCCTGATTCAGTGTGGGCTCTGTCGCCCAGCAACACTGAGAGTTGACACACAAAACAGGCAAAGAATGAATACTGAACTTCTCCTTATTCTTCTGTGTCGCAGTACCATTGTTGCGAATATCCCAACAATGCAGGGATATTGAAATCTGGGCTTAAATGTCAGACAAACCCATTTTCACAGGGATAAATAAAAGCCTTTCAATAAGCAAAACATTAAGGGCCACATATCTGACTCAATAACTATTTAAAACCAAAGCGTACTTCAATAGCTTCATCCTTCAGTTCTAGAGGGGAGCCGTAGCCAATGGGAAACCTATGGTCTAGCCTCATGACATTATCTGGAGTGTTTGGGCTCTTTCGTCTGTTTTTATCTGTACTTAAATGCACATACTTTGTCTGCACTACATATGTTGGACTTTGTAATGGAGAGCTTCAGCCATTTGTTATATTTCTGTATCTATATTTGTATTTCTCCTAGAGGCTGTAGTCCCAATTTGACATTTGACATTTAAAAACATGCATGTGTGTTTCCATAATGAGGGTCGTTAGTAAGGCTAAAGGCTGTCTGGATTTAGCAGGGCAAACTGGGGTTGAGGTTAAGTGAGGTGATAGCTACAATTAGCCCGATTCAATAGGAACAACCGTAGCTTGGAAGCAGAGCCATCTTGTTTGATAAAGACTTACTGTCATGTTGCTGCAGACCCGGCCATTTTGGTACTCCGGCTGGGCTGCCCTCCGGTCCAGTTTGGCCCACAGAGCATTGGCCTTCCAGTAGTTGAGCCGCCGTTTGATTGGTTGGTAGAGAGGCTTTTCGGTGGTAATGCAATCAAGCTGCAGATGTTCACACAGCTGGCTAAAGCAGCGCAGTGCTGCTCTGCAGGTTGATGCAGCCACAAACTCATCAAAAAGCTCCTGGGCTCGGCATTCTGGATAAGACTCATCTTCCATGGCAAACCCCCAAAGTTGCTGGGCATCATGAAAAGGCTGTCATCTTCTGATGCGCCACTGTTCCACTTCTGAGATCAGCTGGAAGGTAAGGAAAAACATTCACTCTTTAAATCTCTAGACTTTTGGTAAAGGGTCTTCATAGTTTCCGTGTCAGGTCTTCACATGGACATTGTCAGGTATTTACAGGTTAATTGTCTGGTCTTCACGTGGTTATTGTCAGGTCTTCACAGGGTCATTGTCTGCTATTTACAGGTTCATTGTCTTGTATTCATATGGTCATTGTCAGGTCTTCACATGGTCATTGTCAAGTTTTCACAGGTTCGTTGTGTGGTCTTCACATGGTCATAGTCAGGTATTCACAGGTTCATTGTCAGGTCTTCACATGGACATTGTCAGGTACTCACAGATTCATTTTTAGGTCTTCACATGGGCATTGTCAGATCTTCACATGGACATTGTCAGGTCTTCACATGGACATTGTCAGTTATTCACAGGTTCATTGTCAGGTCTTCACATTGACATTGTCAGGTATTCATAGGTTCGTTGTAAGGTCTTCACATGGACATTCTCAGGTATTTGCAGGTTTATTGTCAGGTCTTCACATGGTCATTGTCAGGTATTCACAGGTTTATTGTCAGGTTTTCACAGGTTCGTTGCCTGGTCTTCACATGGTCATTGTCAAGTTTTCACAGGTTCGTTGTCTGGTGTTCACATGGTCATTGTCAAGTTTTCACAGGTTTGTTGTCTGGTCTTCACATGTTCGTTGTCTGGTGTTCACATGGTCATTGTCAAGTTTTCACAGGTTTGTTGTCTGGTCTTCACATGGTCATTGTCAGGTCTTCACATGAACATTGTCTGGTCTTCACATGGTCATTTTCAGGTATTCACAGGTTCATTGTCTGGTCTTCACATGGTCATTGTCAGGTCTTCACATGAACATTGTCTGGTCTTCACATGGTCATTGTCAGGTATTCACAGGTTCATTGTCTGGTCTTCACATGGTCATTGTCAGGTCTTCACATGAACATTGTCTGGTCTTCACATGGTCATTGTCAGGTATTCACAGGTTCATTGTCTGGTCTTCACATGGTCATTGTCAGGTCTTCACATGAATATTGTCTGGTCTTCACATGGGCATTGTCAGGTATTTACAGGTTCATTGTCAGGTATTCACAGGGTCATTTTCTGGTCTCCCCAGAATTTTCTTCCTTTCAGTTCTTACGTGGTCTTCATTAGATCCGCTTAGATACTCTATCAGGTCTTCTTAGATACTCTATCAGGTCCAGGTTCTTAGATTTATTGTAATTTCTTCACAGCCCTATTTTGTCTTCACATGGTCTTTGTCAGAACTTAGAAAGGTCATGTTAGGGTCTTTTTCAGGTCTTCATGTAGTTTTAGTTTTCTTGTAGTTTTATTTCCACGGTCTTTGTCAGGTCTTCTCCACAGGGTTGTAGTCAGGCCCTCACCGGGTCTTTGTCGTCAAGGCTTCACTGACATATAAAAACAGTGGGTCCCACCTCAACACTTTATGAAACATTACAGTTCACAGATGTTAGTATGAACCTTCGGCACTGGAGTGGTGCGCTCATAAAATGTCTCCCTTTGAAATGGTGAATAGCATGTAGTAAAAAGTACAAAAGATTATCTTTAGAAACCCAGCTCTTTTAAGAAACCACAACACCGAATAAACTTTAGCTTAGTGACTTATTTACGTTAGGTCTCAAACGTTTGTCAGAGAAAAACTGAGAAGAACCAGCATCATGGAACCCATCAGAAAAAACAGAAGGTTAGCCGTGGCTCAGTTCGAAGCAGGGTCAAGTTCTGAAAATCTCCCAACTTTTCCCACAGTTGTTTAAACATGGAGAGAAGATAGACCCGTCATTTGAAACATGGTGGTGTCAGCATCACCACCACCATAGCCTGGGGTGAAGGGCCACTTAGAGATCTTTAGGTCACAGCAGTTTCAGATATTATAGTGGCCTAGTCAAAGTCCAGACCTAATTCCAGCTAATATACTTAGACATAACTTGAAAACTAATGTTTGCAGGTGTTCTCCATCAAATCTGATAAAGCTGGAGCTGTTTAGAAAAATACAATTTAGTCTCAAGCTGTTTACATTTCGTAGAGTTGAACACTGAAATACCTACAGCTAAAAGGATACTCCACAAAGATACCATGAAAAGTAGAAGAGTGTAAATACTTGTACAACACTTCATTGTTTAGATGTGTTAATTCTCAGCTTTAGTCTTACTTGAGCATTCCCAGAGGAACAAGTTCAGATTCCAGGTCTATGGAGGAACTGGTGCTGTCTAGCTGGATGTCAGGTATCTTCTGCCATGTTTTAAAGTTCCCCTTAAAAAAAGCAATTTTCTACAGATTTTGCTCGAGAATGAACTTCTTCCAACTGATCAATAACTCCAAACGTAGAGAGACAACATCCAAACATCCCCCTGAGACACTAAGACATCTCAAGAAAAGTCTAGATCGCTCCAGAAAAATAACCTGAAGATTTTCCAATGAATGGAACAGATAATGCTTTCCTCTCTGCTCAGATCGTCACATGACAAACAAAGACGACCACACACAGAGCTGACCCGTCCGTACCAGCCACCAACTCACAACGACTATCTCTGTACTGGTCATCACCAGGACAAGACCAGAGACGCGTATGAACCCTGACCCTGGTGATCCAGATCTGATCCTCACAGGATCAAACCTGCAGACAGTCAAAGTTAGCCTTTTGAAGTCAGGTGAAGAATAATCTCTTCATGTTGTCTGCAGAATCATCTTTTGTAAACACCTTTATCATTAACCAGTTTGAGCTCTAATACAATACTCAGACATCATCTCATCTTTGGAAACGTAAGTACGTTAAAGCTGTCAATCCATCCTTAATCAGAGATGGAGTCATCAAGATGTATTAACATTTGAATAAAGATGATCTGCAAATATCTGGGTGTCAACCTTTAAAAAGTGAAAATGAGTGAAATGTACTCACATGTCAGAGTCTCTGACTGTCTGCAAAGCATCTCAGACTGCTGCTGCTCACTGCCAACAGTTAATCCATCCTAATCACACACAGACACACCAGCCCTTAGAATAACATTAGTTCTCACAAGCCAGACACCATGCGGGAGATCAGCGGGTGGGGTCAGACTACGTTAGCTCCGCCCATTAGTGTCAAACTGGGACCTAATTCTGATCTGACTTAACAAGCTTAACAAGAGCACAGCAGCAACCCCAACTTATGTTCACTTGGGATGTAGTAAGGCAAGAAATCGCAAGAACAAGTCTAACAGCGCAGTACCAGGATGGTCTCAAGCCAATAAGGATTATAGCCAATCAGGGCGAGTCTCTCAGTGCTGTTCATCTAACAGTTAATTTTTGCTCCTGTTCAGTACAAAAAATATTTTTACACCAGGTCAATTTAGTTTTTTAGAGATTTTCCTCAGCCCAAATTTGTGTTATTATTATTTGATCAATTCTTATTAACATTCATTCAAAAATATGCCGTAAAACTTTTACAACGTTCTCGACAATCAGCGTAGAAACCCTATATTTCAATCGGGTTTAAGGTGCTATTCTAGCCTTTGACCACTAGATGGGAGTAAAAGTGCCTCAGTGTTACCAGCCCAGGTTTTTTTTTTTCTTTTTTACTTTATTGAATAAAAAAAAAAAAATCAATTGTCAAGTAGGTATCTCCCCTTTTCATTGCTACAAAAAAGAGATAATAACAGTTATATACAGGAGATCAACTTAACTTGTGCAAGGCAACAGAAATAAGAAATAAATAAACAGGCAGTATTATTACAACCAATTGAAACATACAAAACCAATCTCCAAAAGTATAACTACATAAAGAATATGTAGGTTTTAAAATCCACACTTAAACAATTAAAAGAGACTCATTCTGCAACAGGACAGTTCCTTGCATCATGTTAACCTTAGCATTTTGTTGAGTCATAAAACCAGAAATTGTGACGTGTCACTACATGGTTGGTGTATGTGTCCATATTTGTCGGCTAACAGAGATAAAGATGAATAGAAGATTTTGAGTTGTTTTTAAAACTTATTAATGAAGGTTTTTTATTTTTCTATTTACATACATGTATATAATCTCTTTCCATACTCATGGCAATATTGACAATATCAGATAAATCCTTCGCATTGTCATTCTTGTATGTTAATATTTGATTTATCTCAGAAGGTGTTATATTATCTATTTTTTTACTTAACCAAATATTCAAGTTCTGCCAAAAGCAACCGGTGACACGATTAGAAGAGATGTTCAATAGTTTCAGGCTCTTCAAGGTGAAATACGGAGGCATCCACCTCAAATCCAAATCTTTTCTTAAGAGTTTCTGCTGTTGGATATTAACTATTAATAAGTGTATATTGTATTTCTTTTACCTTTGGTGGAATTGGCCATTTTAAATATTTAAAATATTTTTCAATGTTACCTGAATCATTAATTATTCATTTTTTTTTTGTCATTCGAGTAAAATTATGGAAGATTTTACATTTATAGGTCGTCCCTATTAAATTATTGCCACCAGCCTAATTTGTTTTTACAGAAAATTTGAAACGGCTGCATTTCGATACGAACCACATAGAGCGATCACTATGTATGATTTTAGTCTAATATGTAACTTGTCAATATTTACGAACTGTCTTCAATAAAAAAAAAGTTTTTAGTAAATCTTTTTTAAAGTTTAGTGAAAATGTTAGTGAATTTTTACAAGAAGCTAAACTTAGTTAAGAAAAAACTGTCTAAATAAATACATTTAGATACTACATTTAACCTAATAAATACATTTAAATTCAAAAATAACATTTAGTTTTCTGGTTGTACACTTTCCGTACCTCATGGTGGCGGTAGAGAGTCTTAACGCTGCTTGCCAAACGTCATTAGACGCGTTGCTTCAAAGGCAGCAGGTTTTAAAACAGAGAAGAAGAAGATAAACCATTTGTTATTAAAGCATTCAGTGGCTGAACTCTTGTCTTTAGGAAACCTGAACGGAACCGGCATTAGATAACAACAAACCGGTAAAAATAAACATTATTTGGATTGTATAAATTTTCCTGCGTCATTCCAACATTCTGAGTTCTACCGGCTTCCGTAGCGCTGTGTGTTGCAGCGTGGCTTCTTTGCCTTTTGGATCGGAACCATGAGTCGAAACTACAACGATGAGCTGCAGTTTCTGGAGAAAACGGGCAGAACCAGCTGGCGGATCAAAAAGGGTTTTGTTCCCAACATGCAGGTGAGAAAGCTCGGTTCCGACCAACTGGGAGACCTGCTGGAACCAAACTGGGCTCCAGGGTTCTGCTGGGTCCATACAAGTCTCAAGAACCAAGCCGAAATAATGAGGATTACAACAGAAAGACAGTCTTAAAAGTTGATATACTCTAATTAGTCTGTTTCTCCTTATTTTGATTTAATAAATGTAAAATCTAACTAAAATATAACGGGGTTCGGTTCTGTTTTAGCTGACAGCTGCTTCAGCACTAAAAGGCTAGTTTTGAGGTTTGTTTTAAAACAAAATATTTAATAACCAAACTGTTTGGATCAGGAGCTTTTATCAGCTTTCTAAAAATCACTAGTGTATCTCTACAGATCCATATTTAGAAACTCTGGACCTGATCTGAATCACTGACCAAAGTACTATAAAAAAAAATGTCATTAATATAGAATAATTATTTATGCAATTCAATAACTGAAACTCAAAATATTAAAGATCAATTTGGAAAACACTCACATAATCAAAGTGTTCACTTCAGTTAATGAAGAGGACTATGGCTCAAAGCTATTGACAACATAGTGGAAGGAAAAAGTGTGATGGATAACCATGCTCAAGCAAGAGATATAAGGGCTGCTAACAGCTGCTTTAAAGTCGTAGGGAAATCATATTTGAATTTCAAATCATTCTGGCTTAAACATGTATGTAAATGTGTCTTTGTCAGACCATATTGTCCCAAAAGTGAGAAAATTTCTATAAAAAAAAAATCCCGTCTTAAAATCTGTGTTTTTCTTCCCGTTATCTTCTGCAGGCCAGTTAGTTATACGTCAGCTTGAACACCTAAATTCGGCCAATCATATATCAACGGTCATCTGTCAATCAAATTTCTTCTATCATAGCATCTCGATTCATATGTCGCAGCTAATATACGCAACGGTTGAAATCAGAATCCTTTCCTTTCCCATTGAGTTCTGTCCCAGTGTTCACGGGGATGGACGTCTGTGTCTTCAGCAGGCGTAGAGCTAACAGAACTGGCAGCGTTGTGAGGCAAGGGCTCAAACATGTACGGCTGGAAAGCTTCTACACCTAACCAAGCTTCTGCCGCCCTGGCGTCCTCTTCCACAACATCTTCATCCCCGCTTTCCTCCTCTAAATAAAAAATGGATGACGGAGGAGACTCATCCACGACCTCCGACACTAAACTCTCCTCCTCTTGCATGTTTCCTCTGTCCATAGCGTTCCTTGACAGTGTCGTTTCTAAGTCACCAATTTAGTGCTACTTGGTCCCAATGGAATTTCCCATTGGGAACCTACTAGCGCTAAGTTGCAAACTGGTTAGCAAGATGCTTCGAAGACAACAGCTACAACCAAACGTGATTGCGAACCTTCCGCGACAACAATCCCGCCCCCTTGATAAAGGACCAATCACATTCACTTTATTCACTCGTGTAAAGTCGTGCACCACTGGGAGAATTCAGAACTGCCGTCGTTGGAACAGCCGTTTCCCTACGACTTTAAACTGTCCAGCTTCGTCGTACAGTTTGAGCTTAAGCTGCGTGCACCGAATGGAAAAAAATCGATTGCATGCCCGGCTTAAAATATCTTTCCCCTGTGAGGACTTTGCAGACACTGCGCAGCTTCTTTCTTGAGGGAATGTGGACTAGGAAGCTTTGCTTCCGAACCTTCCACCAAAAAATCCCGCCCCCTTGATAATCAACCAATCACATTCGCTTTATTAACTCTTGTAAAGTCGTGCACCACTCGGGAGAATTCGGAAATGCAACGTTTGGAACAGCCGCTTCCTTAAGACTTTAAAACTGGGCTACTGCAAATAGGCCCTGCAGAATCTGCTTGATGGGAACTTTTTATTGTTTTGGAGGAAAGAAAGGATTTAAACGTTATTATACCTTCACGGGGATGAACCTGAAGGTATTGCTTCATATGGCAGATTTTTCATCATCATTTTTTATCAAATTTTTTTAATTAGGTTGAAGGAGTTTTCTACGTGAACGAATCTCTGGAGAAGTTGATGTTTGAGGAGCTCAGGAACGCCTGCCGAGGAGGAGGTGCGTCTAGATCTTAGTTGTCCCTGCTGCTGTATCCCTAGAATCCTAACTGTCCTGGTTGTCTTCAGGAATTGGAGGGTTCCTGCCGGCCATGAAGCAGATCGGGAACGTTGCAGCTCTGCCTGGCATCGTTCATGTGAGTAGAAGCCGTTCAATGAGTAGAACGATCTCATTCGACCCAGTTAGAGCGTCTTTGTCTCTGCAGAGGTCC